GATTTGATTTTGCATGCCATAACTTCCACTAGTTAACACAATAACATTCACAATATTGTAAGTGACCATGATCATCTTTGCTGAGCACCAAAGTTGAACCTAGTGTCTAACTAGTCTTCTGATTTTTAATTTGAGCAATGTCCCTATTGAACTATGAGAGAAATGTTGAAGATGTCCTGTTAGCACAATGTGTTAAATAATACAATCATGTTGAAGCAGGTGAAAACTAGGTTTAGCGTTAAAAAAAAACACACAAGTAATAGTGGTGTACAGGAGATTCTGCGATTCCTGCCAGCAGCTTCTTGATATGGTTCATGTTGTTTGTAAATAAACTGCAGGTCGAAGGTGGTATGCAGGACTTGAAAGATAAACAAGAGATATCAGAGGCTAAGCTGCAGCTTGCAACTCTTCAAATGTTAAAGGGTCACCAGCAATTGGAAAACCAAAGGAGCAATGTACAAACAATTTCAACTCAGGGAGTATTGTCATCTGCCCCTCAACAAAGCCACCAACCACATTCAACTCCTGTTGCTGGTCTACAACTTTCTTCTTTTCCTCCTAATGTTCCCCCAATCCAACCTCATCAGAATTTGCCACCAGCACCTGCAGCACAAGTTCATACCCACTCACCTCAGAATCAAATCCCTTCTGTTCAACAGACAGATTCTAACTACTCGCCACCTGTGTTGAATCCACAACCCGCACCTCAGATATACTATATGCCTCAAGTTCAGCAGTCGCTACCACCACCCATAGCACCATATCAATATTATCCACCAGCACCACATCTTTCACCAACCTCACAATTACAACGGCTACCTCAATTGCACCCGCCTCTCAATGCAGTTGATCCACGAGCCCAGTCTTCATTGGTTCATAATCCTGGAGAAACCCCCTACATGTTATCACAAAGATATCCTCCAAGCATGCACAAATCCCCTAATGCAACTGGCATGACTCTCCCAACCCAACAACAGTACATGGGTTCTTTCCAGTATACGCATGATCAATCCACAAGAAATCATTGTTCAGATTTATCTGCTGGGCATATGCAACCAGTTCAACATTCAACTCTTGATGATTTTTATTCCCATGAAGGATCTCCATCTCACAACAGCGGTTCAAAAACGAAACACTCACAAATCTTGCCAGCCTCTTTAGACCGTTCTGGTGGAAGCAGCATTTCGAGACTGCCAACTGCCCAGGTGTTGCCATATGCAATACCTATGGCCTCGAGTATGGATAAGGAGTCAAGTTCTGGTGCGACTGGAAACAGAATACCAATTGATAATGTCGTTGATGAGGTTGTAACAATGGGATTCCGAAGGGACATAGTCAGAGCAACAGTGAAGAAAATGACTGAGAATGGGCAATCAGTGGACATTAATGTTGTGCTGGATAAGCTGATGAACAATGGAGAAGTTGAACCCCAAAGTGGTGGATTTGGCCGGTAATATGCTGATGTTGTTGATATGATTTATGAAGTATATTTAATTATATGTTTTTATTTTAGTTGTTCTTTTTCTTTTTTACTCTGTTGTTTTGCAATGTGCTTCTAGATCTGGATCAATGTATAATTATCCCCCTGTCTTTGCTTTCCTTTTCTTTATTTATTGATGTAAATAGTGTGTAAATATAAAGCGACTGGTGACTTGAAATTTGTTGTGTGTTTCATGTGAATGTAAATTACTAGCTTTCACCAAACAGATCAATACTTGTTTAAATTTTATATGCCCTTGAACGAAATATTATAAGACAGGGTAGTTGCCAACTTGCCATATCTAGATGTTATTTATAAGGCAAAAGGTTACTTTTGGTTCATGTAGTTTGTCATTTTTACCACTTTGGTCCATGTTGTTTTAATTTTGTCAATTTTGTCTATGTAGTTTCAATTTGAAGCAATTCAAAGACAATTCTCAATTTATGTCAATTTTTTTTTAACTTTCTGTTTGTTGTGGAGGGGTAATTTGGTAAAAAAATTAAAAATTCATTCATTTTAAAAATAATAATCTTAAATTTGAAAAAAAAAAAAAAAAAAAAAAGCTCTCTCTCTCTCACATCTAGACTTGGTTGGGATGGATCTGTTGGTTGCGGCAGTCAAAGAACTTGGCGACAAAGACTATGGCGTGGCCTTGACGAAGGCGGTGGTGTGGCCTTGGCAATCTAGTGTGGGGTTCGTCGGATCTGGAGAGAGGGAGGTTGGTTAGGGCTGGGGCTAGGGGCGGTGCGCGGGTGAAAGGGTGGGGTTGGGTTTTATATTTTCTGGGCGAAGGGGTGGGGCTAGGCGAGAGCGGAAGGTGGAGGTCATTTATGTCGAGGCTGGGGCTGGGGTTTGGCTGTCTCTCTGTGAATCTCCTCTCTCTTTCTCTGTATTTGTATGTACCTGTCACTCTCTATCTCAGTCTATGAACTCGCAACAAGGGGTTTGGTCGGCAAAGCTATGAACTCGCGAAAGAGGAGGCATGGGTGCCTTGATAAAAAATTTGGAAGCGAGATGAGGGAATTTTCCCTTTTGTTTGGTCGGAGAAGAAAGTTTATGGAAGGTGGACGATGGCTCGGTGGTGGTCGGTAGACGATAGTTTGTGGGGATGGCTGGTTTTTTTATTTTTAAAATTATTTTTAAAGAGAATAATAATTTGTGGACTGAATTGCCCCTCTATAACTAACAGAAGTTGAAACAAAAGATGACAGAAATTGAGGATTATGCATGAATTACTTTAAATTGAAACGATAGGGACCAAATTAATAAAAATAGCAAACTACAGGTCCAAAGTGACTTTTTGCCCATTTATAATAATTGGTTTTTCTAAGGACACTCGGTGTTTGAATTTTCTATCCTGGGCTTAGATGCAGCTTGGGGACAAAACTGATGGACCTCAACTGGGAAGGAACACTTTGAAGCGTTGAAACAAGTGACAGCTTCAGCTTTTTTACATCACAGAGCTGTGCAGACTTTAGGGGCGTGGTGGTTTGCAGGTGACAGATATGCCCAGCCCTCCCTTAAACTTTACTTTTGAGTTTTGGCCATCGGTTTTTGCAGTTTGCTGCTATGAGATAAAGGGTAACGACTCAACTGGTTTAACATATGCAATGTTCTTTTTTCTTTTCGACCGAAATGATTACGACTTTTTAGTGTCAATGCTCTTCTAGTTCTTTTTTTAGTGTCAAATTGGTCTCACAAAAGAGAAAGTTGAAGGACCATTTGTGTGGAAAAATTAGTTAAAAGACCAAAATGAAACTCGGACATAAATTCAAGGACCATTTTTATGTATATTTTCTGTCTTTAAGAAGGACCATCCTCCTTAATGAGTGCAGCTTTGAGAATGGAGAGGTTTTGATTGCTAGATGGACCACTTTTGGTAGGGGCAGAAAGTGACCAGACTTGAATTGCATCAGGCTGAGAGGGCTGCTGAGCCATCAATCACAGCATGTGAACTAGGAGAGGAGAGGAGAGGAGAGGAGAGGAGGGAGGGTTTTGTTTCCAATCTTTCATTCATTGCTTTGGGTGGAGATTAGATTACCATGACTGAGCTCTCAATAACATTAACATTATGGTCCAGGGTTTCAAGGTCCCCAAGTCTTCCTATTTATTAATTCATTATTCTCATTGCTGATTTTGTGGACCCTACAAATAATAAGCAGAGGTGAGAGAGAGAGAGAGAGAGAGAGGTCCAGCCCTTTTGTGCTCTAGGGGTATATGTGTCTCATCCCTTTCATCTCTATTTCATCCACTCTGTCCAAAACCAACATATAACATTTGTTTGATCTAACCTTCTACAACCAGCCTTGTAACTAAATCCTTCCTCGGCCAAAGTGGTAAGGATGTCACTTCATTTGAGTGCTATTTCAACTGAGAGACACCCACGAAAGCTTAGCTTTCTTAAACTTTGTTAATGCAAGTGGTGCCGTGCCATGCCATGCCAGTGCCTGAGTGGGAGACCTTAAACACTAATAATAGTGTGCGCATGTGCTCACAGTACTTTACTAAGACGACATCGTATTCCTGGGCAATCGTGTCTCCAGTGGGTTAGGTCTTGTGCATGCCGTTCAAGTTCATTGGTTTCCTAAAAGCATTCACAATGGGCTCCCTAAACCATCTCCTTAGACAAATTTTAGGGATGAATCATAAAAATACAAATTCAACCACGCTCCCTATTCACATTCTAAAATAAGGAGTCCTCTAGGAGCTCCTAAATCTGAGGAGAGAGAAAGGACTCCTAGTGATTCCCTATAACTTAATGTTGTTTTTATTTTATTTTTTAATAGAGATGGACCAATCAAAAAAGAGTTATAACATTCATGACTCTCCAAATTATGGAGTATGGTTGGAGTTGAAATTTTTTAGAGAGCTCATAAAATAGCTTTCTTATATTTTTAGCTAAATTTTAGCTAAGGAATAGAGAGCATCATAGTGGATGCTCTAACAATTTTGTAACCGTCTATTTTTCCCATGTAATCATTAAGACTTTAATTCACTATACTACTTCATAAAGTTTAACTTTTAGAGCCATAAGGAAATCTCTTTTTTTTTTTTTTTTTTTTTCCAATTTATGAATTTTCTAAAATGACATGTTTATTTACCTGGAACGAAAATGACATGAATGTCACATTCCATATGATTTTAGTGTTTATTTTGACCGTGGAAATTAAATTTGTGTTAGGACCACTCTATCACAATCAATATATGATCCCAAAATTACCCTTAATTATTACTTTGTAATAATACCATTGCCAGGTCAAGCAATTTTCAGGCGACATCGTGCCATTTTCTAGCAAAATTTTGTTCGTGATAAGCTTCTTCTTTTTTTTTTTTTTGGCTTCTTCTAAGCTATTTTCTTCAAGTGAGTTCATGTCATTTCCTTATTGAGTTTCTTTTGCCATAATAATCATGATTCATGTGTGACGCCATTGCGCAAAGTTTGGTCAACGAACTTTCAGGTGAGTTTGTGTCATTTTTTTCTTCTTTTTTTTTCAGTTTGGTATTATTTTTCTTCTAAGCATGTTTATCCAATCTTTCTTCTTATAAGCTTGTTTATGCTTTTTCCTTCCGATGTATTTTTCAGATGAGTTTGTGTTATTTTCTTGCAAACTTTTGTTAGTTTGGTACTATTCTTCTTTCTTCTTTAAGCTTGTTTATGCATTTTTCTTCCAATCTATTTTTCAGATGATGTTTGTGTCAATTTCTTGCAAACTTTGTCAGTTTGGTACTATTCTTCTTAGACCATCTCCAACCCAATGGGTGAAAACTCAAATTTTGAGTTTTGAGTCCAAAATTCATCTCCAACCCATGTATTTTCAAGGGTGGAAATTTGAGATGGGTGGAATTTTGGGTGGAATTCCAGTCTGAGTTTTGCCTGGACTGGAAATTTTTTGTGGACCCCAACTCATGCTGCACAGCCCATATGAAGAGGAAAAATGGAGTGGGCCCTACGCGGAAGAAAGTTGCAGCTCTCCCTTTGCTTTTGCATGACAAGTGGCAGCTCACCATTTGTAGTTATTGTTTCTTTCATTTTTTTTATTTATTAAACTTGCAACTTAAAGTTGCTCTGTTTGGAGTAAAAAAAAAATTTATGTTTTGAATTTTGGATTTTTTTAGGTTAAAATGTTTAGAAAATTAAATCACGAATGTTGAAATAAAAATAATATCAAGAAAAATTAATGGCAAAAAAAAATTGAAGGCTAACTATTTTTAAACAATTTAGATAAAGTAGTAGACTCAAATTATGAGTCTACAAGGTTGGAGGAAAAAATAATTTGAGTCCTAAAAATACATGAATAGTTGTATTTTAAAGGGTAAAAATTTGAGTTTAGCCTCAACATGGTTGGAGATGGTCTTATGAGCTTGTTTATGCATTTTTCTCCTAATCTATTTTCAGGTGGGTTTGTGTATTGTTTAGTTTTTCTTAGTCAATTGTCTGCCATCATAACTTCCAATTTCTATTGCAACGTCATATTCCATGAAATCTGACACAAACAAATATTTAATAATTTAACAAGATTGTCTGATTGCAATTCGTGTTCATTTTGAATTTGAGTAGTAAGCATGTCATGAGGTTTTGCAGATACTTTTGACGCACAAACAAACATCTAAAACTAAAAATCAGTTATGATTGATTACCAAACAAAAAAAAAAAGAGAGAGGCCAAATACATTATATTATTTATATAATTTGGATGTAGAGACAAAAAGAAAACAGTTAGGATTTGCTATAGTCCTTTGTAGATAATGTCGTGACCAAACTTAAAACCGTTAACGCTAATGACTGCGTTATATTGTTGTCGTTTATAAATTAGGTATAGATAAATAAACGGTTAAAAATCGTTGTTAGCCGCCACACAAATGCATCATCATTGACGAACAATAATTTTTTGTTAGATTTAGAATACATCAATGATTAGAAAAACATAATACGACCGAACAAACATCTATAAATCGGTTATGATTTACTACCAAAAAAAAAAGGCCAAATACATTATGTTGTAATTTTTATTTATATAATTTGGTTGTTGACAAAAGGAAAATTGGTAGGATTTGCTATAGTCCGTTATAGATAATGTCGTGATCAAACTTGAATACAACTTTTAACGTTAAGAATTGCGTTATATTGTTGTCGTTTATAAATTTCTTAACCATCGTGCATATACATCATCAATGACGAATACTATTTTTTTGTTAGATTTAGAATACATCAATGATTAGAAAAC